GGACAACAACCCTGAGCCCCAGCTGGGCCAGAGCCACCCAGTTCTGCCCAGTGGGGCCCAGGTCACTCCCAGCATGGGCCCAGTCACTCCCAGCATGATCCCAGTCACTACCAGTACAATACCAGTCTCTCCTAGTAGGATCCAAATTACCCCCTGCATGGTCCCAGTCACTCCCAGTCACCCCAGTAGAGTTCCAGCCACTCCTAGTATGGTTCCAGTCACCAGCAGTGTGATCCCAGTATATCCCTGTCACTCCCACTACTATCCCAGTTGCTCCCAGTAGGAATCCAGTCACTTCCACTATGGTCCCACTTGTTCCCAGTCACCCTCAGTATGGCTCCACTCACTCCCAGTCCATTCCATTAGGATTCCAGCATGAGCCCAGACACTCCCTATATGGTCCCAGTCACTCCAGTATGAACCCCTTCACTCCCAGTGAGTCCAGCCCCCACACCCCCAGCACGGTCCCAGTTCCTCCCAGTCACCCAGCATGGTTCCAGTCACTCCCAGGATGATTCCTGTCACTCCCAGTCTCTGCCAGTATATCCCAGTCACCCTCAGCATGCTCCCAGTCAATCCCAGTATGGTCCCAGTCACTCCTGGTCTCTCCCAGTTGCTCCCAGTTTCCCCAGTGTGGTCCCACTCATTCCCAGTTGGCCTCAGTAGCTTCCAGCATGATCCCAAGTGCTCACAGCCACTTCCCGTCACCCCCAGTGCACTCCCAGTAGCTCCCAGTATGGTCCCAATCACCTCTAGCATGCTCCCACTTGCTCCCAGTATATCCCAGTTGCTCCAACATGGTCCCAGTCCCACCAGCATGCTCCCACTTACTCCCAGTATGACCCCAGTCACCCTCACTGGGGTCTCAGTTGCCCCCAGCATGGGCCAAGCTACTCCCACTGTGATCCCAGTATGATCCCAGTTGCCCCCATCATAGTCCCAGTTGCCCCCAGCATGGTCCCAGTTGCTCCCAGTTGCCCCAGCACAGATCCAGTCACTCCAAGTAGGATCCCGCTCTTCCCTCCTGACAGTCCCAGTCAATCCCAGTTGCTTCTGTTGTAGATCCAGTCTCTCACACTTCCTCCCAGTTGCCCCCAGCCTGGTCCTAATTCCCCTTCACGCAGTCCCAGTCGCTCCCAGTGTGGTCCCAGTCACCCCCACTATGGTTACAGACACTCCCAGTATATCCCAGTAGAGCCCTCAGCATGCTCATAGTCCTTCCCAGTCACTCCCAGTTGCCCCAGTAACATTCCAGTTTCCACCAGTATGATCTCAGTGGCTCCAAGCCACTCTCAGTATATCCTATGTGGCCTCCAGTTGCTCTCAGTAGCCCTGGGTGTGGTCCCAGTTGCTCCCAGTATGATCCCTGTTTCCCCAGTTCTGGTCCTGGAGGGTCCCAGTGTGCTCTGATCCTGCTCCCGAGGGGTCCTGCTGGGTCCCGGTCCTGGTGTATTCCAGTGTCCCACTCCATCCCAGTCTGTCTCAGTCCATCCCAGTCTGTCCCACTCCATCCCAGTGTCCCACTCCATCCCAGTCTGTCCCAGTCCATCCCAGTCTGTCCCTGTCCCAGCTCCTGCTCCCCCAGAGCACGGGGGAATTAGAAGGCAAACAGCTGGAAATCAAACTGCAAGTGCTCTGTGGACATCACAAAAGGAAGTGTCAGAAATGGGGCAGATCCCAGCTCAGAACCAGTGCCTTTAGATCTGCTGTTGCCTCTCGGGGCCGGTGCCACAACAAACAGTTGTCCCTGTGTGTACAGAGATCAAACTCGGGGGGCAGGGACTAATCTGGACCTTTTGGGAACAAGGCAGAGTCTGACATGAAGTACAAAAGGACGAGACTTCCTGAGGATCTGGGGAGTTGTTGGGAAAGATCATCTTGGTTTCCAGGCCCCTCTCAGTGGGTCAGAGTGTGAAAAATTGAGGAACTGATTTTATTCCAAGCAAATTAAAATGAACAGGGGGTACTAACAAAAGAACTATTTCTGTATAGTTACTAACTTATAGGCGTACCGTGGAGACTGTAAGGTGAAGGGTCCTATCTGGACCTCTCACCAGGGAATCTTTTGTGGCCGGGAACAGGGAACAAATTATGAATAAAAATGTATTCCTCTGTGCCATGTGGATACACAGAGAGACCCTCCATGCCTTGCAATGTGAGGATGATGCAAGACCCCCCTGTACGAGCCCAGGGGAAGTATGTTGCAACCAGCCAAAAGATAACACCCACTTCCAAGGCAGAGAAATTACCTTTTAAGGCAACAAGCGGACAGTAAAATGAATATTCAACAACTGATTTCAAAGGGTACAAAAAGCGCGGTTTTCAAACAGCGGTGTGCTCTTTGCATGATTCAAAGGTGCACCCAGTGCTGGAAATGGGTACCCAGCACTGCAATAAAAATCTCTTGCTATATTTCTTTGTCCTGCAGGTATTTTTACCGTCTTCAAAATTCCAGAGAAAAAGTAACTTATAACAACCAGGACCCCCTTAAACATCCTTATGCGGTACCGGGACCCCCCAGATTCCATTCCTGGGCATCGAGACCCCCTGAACACCCATTTCTGAGCACGGGAACCCCCCTGAACACTGAACACCCATTTCCGGGCACCGGGACCCCCCTGGACCCTGTCCCTCCACACCGGGACCCCCTTAAATCTTCTTATCTTGCACCTCAACCCCCCAATTTCCATTCCTGAGCAACGAGACCCCCATGAACCTGCATTTTTGGGCACAGAGACCCCCTGAACCTCCATTTTTGGGTACTGGGACCCCCTGGACCTCAGTTTTTGTGCACTTGGACTCCCCTGAACACCGATTGCTGGGCATAGGAACCCCCTGAACCCCCATTCCCAGAAGGAGACCACTGGAACCTCCATTCCTGGCCACTGAGACGCCCCTGAATCCCCATTCCCAGGCACGGGAATCCCCCCCACCTCCATTCCTGGGCACTTGGACCCCCTCCTGCACCCCATTCCACAGAGCTGGGACCCCTAAACCTCCTTTTCCAACACAAAGACCCCCCTGAACCCCCATTTCCGTGTATGGGAACCCCCCTGGATCCCCATTCCTGGCACAGGGATCCCCCTGCACACCCTAATCTGTCACACAGACACCCCTGAACCACCATTCCTGGCACTGGGACTCCCCTGAAACCCCTGATCCTGCACCAGGACCCCATGCACCCCCATCCCCGGCTCCAGGACCCCTCTGAACCCCCTTATCCTCAACAAATACCCCCCTGTGCCCCTTTTCCTGGCGATCCAACCTCTTCCAGCCCCCTGATCCTCCCTTTTCCTTCACCCTGGGACCCCCTGGACCCCCATTCCTGCCTTTCCCAGACCCCAGCCCCCACTTTCCTCAACACTGGGGACCACTGGTCCCCCCTTTCCTGGGCACAGGGACCCCCTGGATCCCTTATCCCACCTCTCCCAGTCCCAGCCTCCCCTTTCCTTGAACCTGGGACCCTTCCCGGCTCTCCCAGCTCTCCCAGTTTCTCTCCCTTGACCCTTGGACCCCCCAGACCCACCAATCTCTGTGACCCCCCCCAGTTCTCCCTTCCCTGTGCTTCCTGCAGGGGGGTTCCAGGCACTGGGAATGCCCTCTACGGCAATTCCTGGGCACAGGGACCCCCTGAACTCCCATTGCCTGGCACTGGGACCCCCTGAACCCCATTCCTGGGCACGGGGATCCCCCTGAACTTTCATTTCCTGGTACAGGGACCCCCTGAACCCCATTCCTGGGCAAGGACTCCCCTGAACCCCCATTCTTGGGCACGGGGATCCTCCGGAACCTCCATTTCCAGGCATGGGGTTCCCCCTGCACCCCCTGATCCAACACTGGGACCTCCCTGGACCCCCATTCCTGGGAACTGGGACACCCCTGGACCCCCATCCCCAGCTCCAGGACCCAATTGAACCTCCTTATCCTGCAACAACACCCCCCTGCACCCCCTTTTCCGGCCATCCTGCCTTTCCCAGACCCCAGATCCCCCCTATTCCTTGATCCTGGAACACGCTGGACCCCCATTCCTTCTTTTCCCAGACCCCAGACCCCTCTTTCCTCAACACTGAGGACCCCTGGATGCCACTTTTGTGGGCACAGAGACCCCCTGAACCTCCATCCCACCTCTCCCAGTGCCCTCACCCCCCTTCCCTTGACCCTGGGACCCCCCTGAACCTCCATTGCTGGGAATGGGGACCCTCCTGCACCCCCTGATTCAGCACCCAGACCCCCTGAACCCCTTTCTCTGGGACTGGGACCCCCTACATACCCTTATTGGGCACTGGGACCCCCTGAACTTCCATTCCCAGACACAGAGACCCTCCTACACCTCCTTATGTGGCAGCAAGACCCCCTGAACCTCCATTCCTGTGTACAAGGACCCCACTGAACCCCCTTATCCTGCATCAACACCCCCTGCACCCCCTTTCCCAGCCATCTCACCTCTCCCAGACCCCAGACCCTCCTTTTCCTTTATCCTGAGACCCCCTGGACCCCCATTCCTGCTTTTCCCAGCCCCTAGAACCCCCTTTCCTCAACACTGGGAACCCCTGGGACCTCCTTTCCTGGGCACAGGGGCCCCTTAGACTCCCCATCCCACCTCTCCCAGCCCCTACATCCCCCTGAACCCCTTCTCTGGCACTGGGACCCCCCTGCAGCCCATTTCCCGGCCATCCCACCTCTCCCAACTCCCAGATACCCCCTTTTCCTTGATTCTGGGACCCTCTGGACCCTCATTCTTGGCCATCTCACATCTCTCCACCCGTGACCCCATTTCCTCAACCCTGGGGACCTCTGGGCCCCTTTTCCCTGTCAGAGGGACCCCCTGGATCCCCCCATTCCACCTCTCCCAATCCTTGTATCCCCCTTTTCCCTGACACTGGAACTTCAATCCTGTGCAGTGGGACCCCTGGCACCCCCTCCCCAGCACTGACACCCCCTGCACCAATTTCCCTGGGATCCCCAAACCCCTTCCCAGCTCTCCCAGCTCTCCCAGTTCCCCCTTTCCTTTACCCATGGCCCCCCTGGTCCCCCCAAATCTCCGTGTCCCCCCAGTTCTCCACTCCATGCGTTACCTGAAGGTGGCAGTTACAGAGCCCAGCCCGGGGATCCCTCAATACATGTCCCTGGGATACGTGGATGGGATCCCCATCACACGCTATGACAGCGAGTGGCGCCGGACGGAGCCGCAGACGCCGTGGATGGCGACTGGACTTGAGCCAGAATATTGGGATGGAGAGACCCAGACTGGCGAGAGGAACCAACTTGTGGCTGCTGCTGACCTGGAGACAGTGGGGGCCCGGTACAACTGGAGTGGGGGTGAGTGCGGGGAACCAGGGAATGGGGGAATGTGTGGGACTGGGATGGGATGTGTGGGGCTGGGATGGGGATCCAGGGCACTCCAAGGGGCTGGGATGGGATCTGTGGGTCTCCGTTGGACTCTGGGGCTCCATAGGGCTGGAATGGGGCTCTGTGGGCCTGGGACACAATTCCAGGGATCTCTGTGGGTCTGGTCCCACTCCCCAGGTCTCCATACATGGCAGCGGCTTTCTGGCTGTGACCTCCTGTCCGACGGGAGTGTTCGCAGAACCCTTCGGTACGGCTACGACGGGCAGGATTTCCTCTCCTTTTCCCTGGAGAGCGGGACCTTCGTGGCAGCTGATGGAGCTGCCCAGATCACCCAGAGGAAATGGAAATCCGAAGGATACGAGGCTCTTCAGCACGACTTGGGACTGAGATGTGCGGAATGGCTCCAGAAATATGTTGGATACGGGCAGGAGGCACTGGAGCACAAAGGTGAGGGAGACAGAATTCCTATGGGAATGTGGATTTGGGAATGTGGGATTTGGGAGGGTGGAACTGAGGAACACAGGCACTCCCATGGGAATTTCGTGGATGAATCTGAGTCATCCAACTCCAGTGGGAATTCCATGCATGGATCCCACTGTTGTCCCATTCCAGTGGGAATTCTGTGGGTGGATCTCACCCCAATTCCATTCCCATGGGAGTCCCATGGGTGGATCTCACTGTTGTCCTATTCCAATGGGAATTCTATGGATGCATCTTATTCCAGATCCCCGTGATGTCCATGTGTCTGGGAAAGAGGAACATGGGAATTCTCATGGGAATTGCATGGATGAATCTTAGTCATCCAACTCCCATGGGAATTCCATGCATGGGTTGTCCCATTCCAATGGGAATTCTGTGGATGGATCTCACTACTGTCCCAGTCCCATGGGAATTCCATATTCCAGAGCCCCCTGATGTCCACGTGTCTGGGAAAGAGGAACACGGGATCCTGACGTTGTCCTGCCACGCGTACGGATTCTACCCCGGGATCATCGGGATCAACTGGATGAAGGGGGATGAAATCCGGGATCAGGAGACGGAGTGGGGCGGGATCGTTCCCAACAGCGACGGCACCTTCCACAGCTGGGCCAGGATCGAGGCGCTGCCGGGGGAGCGGGAGCAGTACCGGTGCCGGGTGGAGCACGCCGGAATGCCGGAGCCCGGGATCTTCGCCTGGGGTGAGCCTGGGAACGGGCAATGTGGCAACTGGGCATGTGGGAATGAGGAATTTGGCAGTGTGGGGCACTGGGATGGGGGTCACCCTCCCCCTGCTCACCCTCCTGCCCTTCCCAGAGCCAGAATCCATCTGGAATTCCACCCCGGTGTTGGTCGCTGTGTCCGTCATCGCTGCCATCATCGTCATCATCGGCCTCGTCGCAGTCGGTGTCTGGAAGCTCCGAGCCGGTAACTCACGGGATGGGGGTCAGGAAGGGGCCCGGATCCGCCCAGCAGCATTCCAGGGATCCTGTGCCACGGGTGCTGATCCCGCTTTCTTTCCATAGGGAAGAGGGAGGGCAATGGATACGACCCCGCACCCACCAGTGAGTACCAGCAGCGTGTGTGGATCCAGATCCTCCCTGCAGGGATGCCAGGATGGATCCTGGGATTCCAGAGGGGAATGGGGGCATGATGGATGGAGCGGGATTGGAATGCGATTGCAGCTCAGTGCAGGATTGCAGAGTGGGATCAGGTGGAATTGTGGGTTGGGATCAGGGCTGGATTCTGGAGTGGGATTGGGGTGGGATGGATGGAGCAGGATCAGGAGGGAATTCGGAGCAGTTGCTGCTCTCCATGGGCTCCCCAGCCAGATCCATCCCCTGGGATGGGAACAGGGACATGGGGACTCCTTTCCCCTCTCTCATCCCGGCAGAAATCACGGCCTAAGTGATCATGCAGCTGGATCCGCCCCTTCCCTCTCCCTGCGGAAAGGCAGGAGCTGCTGGCAGAGCTCATCCCGCTGCTCCCACCCAACCCGGCCCCCTGCGGCTCTTCCCAGTGGAGCAACTTCCTGCTTTTCCATGTGTGAAACCCAGGAGCACAATTATTACTGAGGCTTTAATTGTGGTGTGAAAATCTGCTGCTTTGGGCAATAAATCCTGGTTCCCTCCTCTGGCATCCATCACTTCCTCTCTGGGAACCAGGAATGGGAATGGGGACAGGGATGGGAACCTCAGGAATGGGAATGGGGTCGGGGGCCTGGGGATGGCGACACTGGGGACAGGGATGGGGACACTGGGAGCAGGTTGGAGACACCAGTAGTTGGGAATGGGGACAGGGATGGGGTGACTGGGGGCAGGTTGGAGACATCAGGAACTGGGAATGGGGACATCAGGACTAGGATGGGAACACCAGGAATGGGAATGGGGACAGGGATGGAGACACCAGGAGTGGAGGCTGTTCAGAAGGGCCCAGCAAGAAAGGAGGGGATGTGATCCTGGGTCAGGGCAACCCCTGGGATCAGTCCAGGATGGGCATGAAGGGATTGGGAGCAGCCCTGGGAGAAGGACTTGGGGGTGTTGATGGGTGAGGGCTGGACATGCCCCATCCCAGAACCCCCCTGTGTCCTGGACTGATCCCACAGCAGGGAGGGGGGAATTCTGCCCCCTCAGGTGAGACCCCACCTGCAGAGCTGCCTCCAGCTCCGGGATCCAACAGCAGGAGGACGTGGAGCTGCTGGAGCGAGTCCAGAGGAGGCCCTGGAGCTGCTCCTGGAGCTGGAGCCCCTCTGCTCTGGAGCCAGGCTGGGACAGATGGGGGGGCTCACCTGGAGAAGGGAAGGCTCCAGGGAGACCTTGGAGCCCCTTCCAGAGCCTAAAGGGGCTCCAGGAGAGCTGGAGAGGGACTGGGGACAAGGGATGGAGGGACAGGACAAGGGATGGTGGTTTCAAACTCAAAGAAGGTGGATTCAGACTGGATAGGAGGGAGAAGTTTTTATGACGACGGTGAAACATGGCCCAGGTTGCCCAGAGAAGCTGTGGCTGCCCCATCCCTGGAATCATTGCAGGCCAGGTTGGATGGGGTTCAGAGCAGCCTGATCCCTGTGAGGGTGTCCCTGCTCAGTGCAGGGGGTTGGACTCCATGGGCTTTAAAAGTCCCTTCCAACCCAAACCATGCTGGGATTCACTGATTCCCTGAGATGTTGACATTTCCTTTCCAATGGGGAATGAATTTCTCTTTGTTCTCCTCCCTGAGTTTATTTGCAAAGAAGGGATCTCATCTCTGGGTCAAACTGCTGACTGACTCCCCAGTCTCCAGGTTTCTGCACCTGTAATTTCATTTGTCTCTCCAGGAGTTGGTTTAATATAAAGGTCAGTCCCTTGCTCAAGGCCACGACCACAGGAAGCCCCTTCTTTGGGAATGTCTGGGAATCAGGTTTGGGGAATCCCTAGCCCTGGGCCCAGGCAGTGTCACAGAGGGGAATCTGTGGGTCAGCACTTTGCATTTCACTCACTGTAAACACTTGGATTTAGGAAAACTCAGAGTAAATATTGGCTTTGACTTTCCATTGGTCAATACTTAACTGATTCTGTCAATAAAACCTGTTCCAGCTGCTGAGCTGAGAAAGGAAAGGTGGCCTTTGGGACTGCCACTGAAAACCAGGAAATAAACTCTGAACAGTTTGTGGGGTTGGAAAGCTGACATTAGTCAACTCTAATTACTTGAATCACTGTTAAGGTGCATGGGGGTAACTCCAAAAAACATGCACAGTTACCAAAACTTTGAACTCTTTATATGTTTCAGTGAAGAAAGGAATTAGTGTTCATTGGCTACAAGCTATGTGGTTCTCTTCATTAATTAGTGTTCTATCCTTTGTTGGTTATTGATCTCTCACTTCTCTTGATGGTTGGTGCACATTTTTCAGTCCCTTTTATTCCCTTTTCCCCAGACAGGACATCTCTGGTTCCTGTGATGTGTCCTGGTGGTTTATAAATCCTGCATTCTCCTTGTCCAGCCCTAAACAATGAATTTTTTTCCTATTCTGGGACCACTGAAGAATGTCAGGCCCCAAACTTTTAGTTTGTTTTTCTAACAAATACATGGACACCCCCAGAGCTTGCCCCTCATTCGTTATCTCTTCCACGGATTAAACCCCTGGCAACGATTCCCCCAGAGCTGCACAGGGTCCTTTTTAAGGAAATAGGGCTGGTTTGGGGACAGTTCCCTCGGGAGGGGAACCTCCTTCCCAGGCTGTGTGGGGACCACACTCTGCCTCAGGGTGTGGTGTCTCCTCTGGCTGGTGCTGCCCCTGGTTGGAATCTGTTGTCAGTTCTATCCACTGCTCCCACCCACGCTGTCTCTCTTCCCGATGGATCAACTTCCTGCTTTTTCATGTTTGAAAGCCAAGGACCACAATTATTCCTGATTCTTTAATTGCTTGGGATGCTCCTTGGAATACTTTTCCAGGAATGTCTTGTTACAGAGCATCAGACTCCTCAACAGAATCCTGCCAAGCAATTATATCCACATAGGAAAGGAAATTATTGGTGATCCTGACCTGGCTTTTGGAGGTCCTGATAAAACAAAGATCTTCAACTGAAGACTTTATTAAAGTAGCTGAATGGTCAAACTAAGAAGTGTCTCAACCTGCAGACAGTCATTCCTTCAGAGCAGATATGCAGGTGCTTGGGAATGTTATTCCCTCCTGTCAGCTTCCCACACAGCTGTGGGCACACTTTGTCCAGGCAGCTCACGAAATGCAGAGTTTCCTTCCAACCTGAAGGGAGGTTTTGCTCTCCAACATCTCTCCCAGGTGGCACTGGGTGATCGCAGGCTGGTTCTCCTGGCTCTGCCTCTCTCCTGCTCTCCTTGGAAAGCACCACGGCCGGAAGGATCCAGATGTTGATCCTGATATCCGAGACAATCAATAAAATACCATTAAAAAGGCATAAAATGTGGGGAATCGATCAATGAAATGCCAGGTCTGTCCTAAAAGAGACACAAATACAGAAGAGCCACCCCGGGACGGGCAGGCTGGGAACACAAAGTGGAGACTGAAGTGAATGCGAGAGGGATCGGCCCTGGGGGGAGCCCACCGTCTCCTGGCACTGAAGAGCTGCCCCAGGACGGGCCCTGGGGGGAGCCCACCGTCTCCTGGCACTGAAGAGCTGCCCCAGGATGGGCCCTGGGGGGTGTCGCCAGGGAAGGGAGCGAGATCGGAACAGAATAAAATGCAGAGAATAAACCAAAGTAGAGTAAAAAAGCTGCCCCAGGGGAGCCTCCGCTGCCCTGTATGTAAAAGAGCTGCCCCGAGGGACGAGCGAGGAGTGGCGGCCGGGAAATGGTGACCCTGGCTGCGGCGAGGGAAGCGTGAATGGAATCAAATAGAGGAGAGAATTAAATACACTAAAGAAGCCACCCCAAGTCAATGAAAGAGCTGCACCAAGGGACCCACTGTCGGGTGTCGTCAAAGGGATGCACCGAGGGCAGGGCGAGGTGGGAATAGAATTAACTACAGAGAATAAAAGAAAGAGAATAAAAAGCCTCTCCAAGAGGGTCCCGCCACCCAGTATCAAGAAGAGTCGCACCGAGGGACCGGTGGGGCAGCACTGGGCAGGCCGGACGATGTTCAGTGTCCCTGAAAAAGCTGCATCATGGGGTGGCTACAAAAGGGCGACAGCGAGGGATGGGAGGTGTGAAGGGAATAAAATACAGAGAATAAAATACAATACAAGAACCTCACCGGGGGGTCATCGCCGCTCCGTGTCACTGAAAGAGTTGCAGGGCAGGACCTGCCAGGTGTAAATAGAATGAAATATAGAGAATAAAATAAATGGAATAAAATACCTGTGTCGAGGGGTTTCCATCACCTGGTACCTAAAAGAGCTGCACCGAGGGAGCACCGGGGCGGCCCCGGGGGCTGTGAGGGAGCGATGAACGGCTCCAAGGGGACTCTGCTGCCCCGTCCACTGAAAGTGCGGCCCCGGGGGATGGGTGGGGATCGAATAAAGTACAGAGAATATAGTAAAATAAATAGAATAAAAAGCTGCAAACCCGTGTCACTGAAAGAGTGGCCCCGAGGGACGGGCGGGTGTCAGAGAGTCTCCAACACAAAGCTGGTCCATTTTCCCTCCTCGGCAGAGCCAGCCTGCCTGGGTACCAGCAGCTCAACCCACCGACACCCTGCAAAGCTCTACCCGGAGCCAAGCTGGCCACAGAGTGCCCACCGGGGGGTGTTTAAGGCAGTGCCCAGCGTTGCCCGAGGGTCCGGTCCAGTGCAGGCGGTGTTGTCCAGGGTCCCGTGCTGGCTGCGGGCCCCACTGCTCACTCTGTCCTGCTCGTGTCCCACCTGCCTGCGTCTGCTGGTTGTCTCAGATCCAGTCTGCTCACCCCCTGCTTCCTTCCAGCGACCCTTCCCTGACTGCCTGAGGCTGGCTACACCCGCTTCTCTCACTGGTGCTGGGAACTTTCGACATTTTCCTTTTTCAGCCTTTTCTTTCCCTTCTCTCTCTCTCTCTGCTCCCGCTTTTCCCCTTTTACTTGTTGTTACCAATAAAGCAAATTGTCTGTTTGAGACCTAACACCTGGAGTTTTGTGCCTTAATCTCGCCCTCGAAGCCATCCTCTAAAGAACTCCGTGGCAGCCCCAGACCGGACTGGAACAGCGGGCGCGGCCCGGCCCGACCCCTCCACCCGCGCCAGGAGCGGCGACCCCGCGGGCCCGGCCGGGGCCGAGCGGCGGCAGCCGGAGCAGGGGCAGCGGCTGCAGCGGCGGAGACGAGCGGGGTGTTCCCAACCGGGCCCGCTCCGCCCTCGGGCCCCGGGGGGAGATCGGGGATTGTTCTCAACCGGGTCCACCCCACGGACCCCCCAGAACCCCCCACCCCCGGGGCTGCAGCGCCCCCAACGGCCTCAGCCAATCAGAAAGCTCCCACGCAGCTCTGGCCAATGAAAGCGCGCTACGCTGATGACTCATCAGTTGCCGGGAAGACGCGACGAAAAACTGGCCCCGAACTTTGCCCTCAGCCAATCAGAGCGCGGCCAAAACAGCCCCAAAACGGCCCCGCCCGGCTGGTTTTGGGGCATCAGCACCTGCCCGGCTCTGGGGATGGAGCGTGTGTGGGGAACTGGGGCCGTACTGGTGGTACTGGTGGTGCTGGGAGCCCCCCCGGCTGCGGG